AGAGAGAGAGAGAGAGAGAGAGAGAGAGAGAGAGAGAATTATATTATTTTTAGAAAAAATAAATCCATTAACTTAAGATATTATTTAACTGCATAAATCTAAGTCAGTTTATTTGGCAAGAATAACAATAAGAAACAGATATATCCAAAACAATGTTTATTAAAAATATCATGGTTATGCAATACATAATAGTATATTTATAAATACCGCAATCTTATTTAAAGTTACCATTTAGTTAATCCCAAACAAAGTTGTGATTATTTATAGAAAATAAATTGAAATTAATATAAATCAGAATAAAATGTTTGTAAATTAGGCGCTGAAATATTAATGCTTTTTTCACTGATATATCGCTTACTTTCAGTCAGTTTTTTATTGTCACTTCTTTTAACAGGTTTTGAATATTGAGAGACTTTTAGCGAAAATTTCAAATTTGTTGCCAAATCTCCACAAAAAGTGCTCTGAAATAAATATTTCAAATGATTAAGTGTTGAGTTTATAACAACACAAAAGTTTCAAATAACAAATTCTTTAAACATGTGATTTCTTACCATATTTGATGTCTCCCTTAATGTTTCGACGAATAACTCGTAAAATGCGAGAAAAGTGGAGAAAACAGAGCCCCCAATGAGGATAAGGAAGACTCCGCCGACGTTTTTCATACCCATCTCGAGGAGAGCGGGCGTACCTTTGCTAAGACAGGCGCCGCCTCCGGCCTTCTGTGTCCACCACGTCTTCTTCAGTTCCCGCAAAACTCCCGTTTCTTGTAATTTCACGATCGCTTCCGAGAGAGGGGTTCGGTATTTGGAATCTATATTAAGTTAATATTATTAACCATATATTACTCGTGCTATTACTGTACGCCAGATAATAGTGTATGAATTGTTAAACAATATATTTGCAATTCTCTGCACCTTTTTTGGTGGCGATTCCGTAACCTTTACTGTCGAGTAGTCCCCCGACTTGTGTTAGATTACAGTGTCGTTCAGTAATGTAATCAATAACTGCCGACTCCATGAAGAAGGCATACTTTCCTTCGGATTCCTCCACAGCATCCCTTCCAATAGAGTTACTCGACTTTAGGACATTGTTTGCATTCTCCTCCATATACTCCGCCATCTTTTTATACGTCGATATGTTTGTGCTCTAAATCATTATTCAATTATTTGCCACAATTTATCATTAAATTAATTCAGTTACTTAAAAATTTGCAAAAACCATGTTCTCTTCTATCTCAGCATTAATAAAGATAACATGGAATTGCATGTAAATCCTATGGCTATACTTTAATACATCGATGTATAAAGTTTGTTATCTTAATACAGTATACTTGTGTTGTAATTTAAAAATCTTTATATTGTTTTTTAAAATAAATTGCAAAACAATTTGTGGTGAGAATTGATGGATACCTTAAAGAAGCGATGAGTGGCACCGTTTCCAACCAATCCGTAACTGATAGCTGTCTGTGCGGCCAACGCTTCGACACTATCGA